AGTAAGAAATAGAAAGATTATTTACTGGAATATATTAGAATACAACATACAGAATTAAGTAAGCATAGTAATTTAGTGCCTGATAAACCCTAAGATATCTGCTATTGAGGCAAAAAGTCATTATTCAACAGTTAAGTGTAGAGGAAATTGGAAACAGTATGGCCAAACTAGACACACAGCAATATCTCATACCATATAACAATATAAGATCAAAATGGGCACATTTTTAGACATAAATGTTGAGATCATAAGCAAATTAGTGGAGTAGAGGAGAAATTATATGTGAGATCTATGGACTAGGGAAGGGTTTGTGAAAAAGACATTCAAAAGAGGTAAAATGTATAATCCTGATCACAAAAAATTAAGAAGTTTTTGCACACATAAAATCAATGCAACTAAAAATAGTTGAAAAACAGGAAAATGTCTTTACAGAAAGTTTCACTGATAAAAGTCTTATTTCTTAAATATATAGAAAACAAAATCAAATAAGAGATATCCTCTAATTGTAAAATGGTCAAAGGGCATGAACAGGCTGTTTTCAGAGGAAGAAATTAAAGCTATCTTAATTAGCATATGAAAAATATTCTCAATCACTAAGTCACCAATAAAGATCACAGCTTTTCAACGAAGGTTTAGGAAGAATTTTAGGCAAAAGCATAAACCACACAGGATGAAGGGAATGACTTTTCTTTTAACGTAGGTGGCTTACACTATGAACAGGCTCTGGAGACAGAATGCCAATTCTTAGCATGCCAAAATGCTGCGAATGTAAAATGCTATGAAGATTAAAATCTCTAATTCTGGGGGAAAATTATATCTAGAATGACAGAAAATACTACCGTGAAATTCTGGATAACACTAACTGTTAATACTGTTCCTAAGATCAAAAAAGAACAAGATACATATATTAATATTTTAGACATTAAATAATATAATAAATATGGACAATACAAAATAAAGCATAATTCAGAGATCAGCAGTGAAACCAAAGAGATCATGTGGACTTACTAGCTAAAAGCCAGTTATCTTTTTCCAGTTTTAGTCTCTGTAGAACCCTCTGAACATGTTCCATTTGTTTTTTTTCTTCCTCTAAAAGTTTGTCCTGAAGAGCAATACAGCGCTCTTTTTCTTCTTTCTTTTTATTTAGAGGCTGGCAAACATAAAAAATTTTAATGAACACATTATTTCTTTTTTTTCTACTTGAAATTTAAGCACAATTTCCTACCATCATGAGTAAAAATAAATATTTCTAGGTACATTAACCTGGAAACTTAACACTAAAACTCCACTTCACCTGAATTATTAAAATGAACATAATATCTATCAAAAGTAAACCTTTAATTACTAAAATAACTAAAAATATTTATTTATAATTCTGCACGATTAAAAATAATTATTGAATCTTTGTTAAAGACATACCATTTCTTGATTGTCATCAATTGCTTTCATCTGGACTTTAAGTTTATGAACTTCTCTTTCATAGCTGTTATGTGGTACAGCAAGGTCATACATTGTTAATGACCAGAATGTAGCATAGAACTGTGGACTGATATCATCCCATACTTTAGAAACATGCAAAGAGATTACTGCTTCATGGACAGGTGTCATCACTAACTCACAGGATGCAATATATTTATGAACTTTGTGCTGTTGCTTATTTCCCTTCTCAGCTTTTTTAAGTTCATCATACTTTGACTAGAGATGGGAGGGAAAGACAAAAAACAAAAAGCAAAACCACTAAATATTTTGCATTGTTGTATTTGTTGGTATAAATCAACTCATCACATCATTGACTCTCCAAATCTCAAAATTAAGATGACTGTGCTTCTACTGAAAATTCAACACTGAAATATGGATGAACGAATGAATCTATGAACCAGGCACTGGGCAAAGTGGTAAGGATACAAATAGAAAATGTGACAGTCCCTCATCTCAAAGAGCTAGCTCTACTTAGGAGAGATTACAAAAAATGTAAGCTTCAGGATGCATAGGAAGATCTCAGGTCCTAAGGTTCAGTAAGATAAATAGAAAAGCCAAGGTATCTCTGGATAAAAAGATCATATGTGCCTGAGAGTCTGTGGTGCACAGACACAAGGCAGATGGTAAGGTGGAATAGTTTCCCATATAACATCAAAGAATAGGGTTGGCAACTCCTATCTCATCGATGCCATGCAAGCATGGTTGAGGGACAGACAGGAGACGGAACACCAAGGAGGAGTACTCCTCCTGCCTGTCACTGTAGGATGGTTTCTGGGAAGCCAGTGGGGAAATTAAGGAGGTTTAAAATTAAGATCTTTCAATAAAGATCCTTTACGCTGAAAAAGTAACATAACAAATTTGAATTCTTAAGCTTTCTGAAATATTAAATAAATATTAAAAGTCTTATTAATAGGAAAACTCAGGATTCTAAACTTATAGTATTTTTAAATTAGTTTAGTAGCAATTTAGTGAATATAAAAATTACAGAAAACTTGAAATAGCTTATTCAATGTTAATGAAAATACCCCTTTACTTACTGAAATATGGTGTGCATACATTGGTCTAGACAGGAAAAATGCTGCATCATGAGGTGTATGATATTCATTACAGAGCACATCAATTGATGGCACTCGTTTAATGTAATCCTCTGTACTCAGATTAGCTGCCAAAAACCCACCAAACTGTACCAGGGTATCATGACACTAAATTGAAAAGAAAAACAGAAATAAGAAAATGGAGTTAAGATATACTTAAATCTGAGAAAAGGATCTAAGATGACAGATTAGGGGTAGCAACCCAGTTCAACACTCCCAACATTCCCCTCCAAACAACTTTAAAATAAAACTCAAATCAAATCAAATTTTGGAGTGGCACAGCCAACAAAAAGTCAGAGTAAGATATTTTTCTGACACAAGAAAGTTTAAGAGATTAGCAAAAGTCTGTGACACCGGTCTGTTCAGAGCCCACACATGCCATTGCGGCAAAAATGGGAGTTCTCAATAACTGGTCAGAAAGAAATTATAGGGGACCCATTTCCGGCACGGTGTACAACTGGTGCTGACTGGCAACTCTATTACCACACGTAGTTCTGGGTAGCAGTTCCAGGGCCAAAAAAAGTACTGGGTCTCAGTCATAAGGGAGTAGGGACCTTGGTCACAGTTTAAGGGCCATGAGGAGTATCAGTGCTCGTGGTTGCATGGGAACAGGAGTCCTTCTGGTTAAGATCAGAGCACAGATCATGAGAGCAGTGACCACATTTATTTCAGGATCACATCACCTTTTAAGTACTAAAAACTTACAGACTCCCCAGAACTAGCTCTGAAAGTAGCCCACAAACACCTGAAACTTTAGGCAGTGTCTCCCTATCCCTAAGTAAGCAAAGGACAACTTTAACAAAAAGTTTAAAGTCAAGAAACAGGCTGGGGAAAAATGAGCAAACAACAACAAAAAAAGAAAGAAACTGACTAGATAAAGCTACTACAGTGCAAGGGAAGACCAAGACAAATTCCAAAGACAACAATATGAAAACACCCGCCAAAAAAACCTCGAAGAAAAATGCTCATTGGACTCAGGCCCAATTAGAATTTCTGGAACAGCTAAAGAAAGAAATAATGAGTGGCAAAGGGAAAATAAGGAAAAGAAATGAGAGTGATGCATGAATATTATGTAATAAAAATTAAGAACTTAGTAAAAGAGGCATCAAAAAATACCGAAGTAAACAATACCTCATAAAACAAAATTGGCTTAATGGTTAAAAAAAAAAAGGCACAAAAAAACCACTGAAGAAAACAACTCCTCATAAAGCAGAATTGGCCAGATGGGAAAAAACGGGCACAAAAGCTCACTGAAGAAAATAATTCCTTAAAAGTTAAAATAGGCAACTGGAAGCTTAATGACTCCATGAAACTGCAAGAAACAAAACAAAGTCAAAAGAATGAAAAAATAGAAGAAAATGTGAACTATCTCATCAGAAAAGCATCTGACCTGAAAAACACATCAAGGAAAGATCATTTAAGAATTATAGGACACTTGAAAGCCATGATTAAAGAAAGAGCCTAGATAAAATATTTCAAAAAACTGTTAAAGAAAACTTCCCTGATAAATTAGGAATCTAAGACAGTAAAACAGACATTGGAAGAATCCACTGATCACCTCCTGAGAAAGATTCCCAAAATGAAAACTTGGGAATATTACAGTCAAATTCCATAGCTTGAAAAAGTATTATAAATCCTTACTACTTGGAGAATTGAAAATAAAAAAAAAAAAAACATCTGAGTTACTATCTCACATCCATCAGACTGGTTATGTTGACAAAAGGGAAAAATGATAAAAGCTGAAAAGATTGTGGGAAAGTAAGATGGCAAAGATATGAACTAGTCCAACCATTCTGAAAATTAATTTGGAATTATATCCTAAAAACTGTTAAACTATACAATCTTTGACCAAGCAATACTGCAACTCAATCAAAGAAACAAGAAAAGGATCATGTATTTCAAAATACTTACAGGTTCTCTACTTCTCAGTAGCAAGTAATACTGTAAAGGTAAACACTTAGAAACTCTGACCAATAAAATGTTCAATTATAAATCCAAAGGACTCATGGTGAAAAAATGCTATATTTACCTCCAAATANTTTTACTCTGTAAGTGATTTTGCCTTTAACTGCTTAAGTCATAATTCTCTCTCTTTCTGAACTTAACTCAGACCCTGAATTCTAGTTCTCTCTTCCATTCTTGCCCCAAGGAACTCTGCTGCCCTTGGGGGTTGCAGGTGGACCCCAGGGAGTTCAGGTTTGTATCTTTATACTACCACACTATCTTTCAAGGAAGTCTGGTTGGATATCCAACTAAGTCTGGACCATTATTTCTGACCTTGCAAACGAACAATTCTGAGCCACAGAAGTGGGGTTGTGATTAGTCCTTCAATTCCCAAATTCCAACCAATCATATTGTTCCCCACACCTCAGCTGCATTGTCCATCAATCTCATGAGGTCACCTATTCTGTTCATTCTTTGTTCTGCACTCCTTAAATCTATCTGATAGGGGTCTTTTGGCACATATCAAGCCCCCTTTATTAACAGACTTACACCCTATTAATAAACTGTTATTATGCTCAGAGAAAACGTGCCTCAGCCTACCTTTGTCGAATTTCACTCACTACACTTACTGTACTACACTACACTGCACCTCACATGTTGTTTTTTTACATATCGAGTATTTGTAACAGGTTTGACTTTTCTTGTCTTCTTAAAAGTAAAGTTATTAAATTTATAAATATATGTCAATATTATAACCATTTACTCAAAACTAAATCAAACTTAAAAGATGGCTAAGTAAAATATAAATGGAATTAAAAAGCATGTGAACAATTTTCCAAATACCTGATCATACAACTTTCCCACAAGCTTCAAATGTTTCTCTCCTCCTTCCTGGAATATCACCCCATTCCTCTGTTGAGCCATAAGTATGCACAAAGGAAGGGCAAGATCATGATCCAGAAGTGCATCCTTTAACCTCTGAGAGGACTTTTTTGTGTTTCTGATCTGTCCAAAGTAGCCACCCTATAAAGAAGAAAAAAGCTGATCAAACTACAGATTGAGCGAATTTAATAAAAAAACTTATTAAGTAAAATAAAAATTTATGAGCTATGATTAAGACGGTCATAGAGATATACAAATATAATCTTATCTGAAAAAAGATACTGTAATAAAGAAATCCTTAAGAAAAAGAATATGACATCAACTAAAATTCTTCTTTCTGAGTAGCAATGTAAAATAACAGCTAAAAAATAATGTTTGTAGTTGAATCCCTATTTTCTCTGTCTAGTTTCCCAAATGACTTGCAGCACAGTGCTATAATAGAAACCCCAGGTATTTTTACTCACAATTATAGAAGTAAAAATTTTTTAAACTTACATTTGCTTTAGCAATTATTGTCTCACTTTATACTAAGGGGAGAGGACAGAAGGAGTTTGACATAAGAGAAATAGAGCTAGTCATCAAAGGAAAAAAATCATGCTCACCTCAGCTTTTAGCTGTTCTCCACCCGTCAAAGCCTCCAACTGTTCCACTGTCATTTCTTCTGTAACTTCTATTCCTGCCATTTTTTCTACTACCTCTTTCAATATAAGTAGGTCAAAGCTACTCAAAAGTTAGAAGGAAACTATGTTAATAATATAGACTCACACAGAAAAATGACAGCATGCAGTATCTTAATATTAGAAAATCATTAGAAAGAAATCAAGATACAGAGGAAAATTTGGGTTCTGGCTCTGAAATTTACTAATATTTAACTGGATTCAAGCCAAAGAAAAGTGAATGAATTATTTCCAAATTCCCACCACTAGTTCTCCAATTGCAAGTCTCCTTTCAACTCTTCTGTGTTGCACACATTTGATAAATTATCACAGAAAGACACAAATAGGAGCAAAGCCAAGTCTGTGCTAAAACCATACACAGTCCATTTACAGATATTATTCAGTTTTACATAAAAGATATTTAAGTAAAGAGAAACTAGACTAGATCTTTGGGTTTAAAAAAAGACTAATAAAATGTACCAGGACACATGGTCTTTCCACAATTAGTGTTTCTATATCACGAGACCTTTTTATTTCTAATCAAAGATCCATTTCATCAGTTTAGGTTCTAGTTCTCTGGAAATCAGGAATTCCTAATCCACATACAGACTAGCATAATATTGTGCAATAGAAAACATACTGATTATTCAATTTTTCACTGCTATTATGGACAGTCCAATCTATTCAGGACATGCCCCACTTCAGAACAAAATTTTATTACAATGTTGAAATAAAACAAAATAAGAAACCATGAAAGAAATTACTATAATTAATCAAATTGCTAAATTCATCTATTTGTTCAAAACGATAGAAAATTATATCCAGCGTACAAATAATAAAAGTTACATAACACTAATGGCAATATTTTTATCATTTTCTGTGAATTTCTTTGAAAAAATCAATATACCTACTTTCTAGACTTGTGTTTTTTAACAGGATAAGCACCTAATTATACAAGGCCCAAAGGTTAAGTTTCTTTTTTAAATATTCCTTGCCTTCAAAACCCTTAAATTATTGTAATATGATACAAGGCATTTTGATGCCTTTATAGAATATTAAGTGAAAAAGGAAAGTCTTCACATGGAAAGTGTTTATTTTTCAGTTATTTCAATTACANTTAAATTATTGTAATATGATACAAGGCATTTTGATGCCTTTATAGAATATTAAGTGAAAAACGAAAGTCTTCACATGGAAAGTGTTTATTTTTCAGTTATTTCAATTACGTCCAATTCTTCACTATCCTATTTGGGATTTTGTTTTGTTTTTTTTTTCTTTTTGCTTAGGCGATCGGGGTTAAAGTGACATGCCCAAAGTCACACAGTTAGTAAGTGTTAAGTGTCTGAGGCTGGATTTGAATTCAAGTCCTCCTGACTCCAACGCCACAGCTCTATTCCCTGTGCCACCTAGCTGCCCCTTGGTATTTTCTTTACAAAGATACTGGAGTCATTTCTTTCTCTAGGTCATTATACAGATGAGGAAACTGAGGCAAACAGAGTTACGTGACGTGCCTACGGTCACACAACTAGTCTGAAGACAGATTTGACCTTGACAAAGTTGAGTCTTTCTGACTCCAGGACTGGAACTCTATCACTGTGCTATCATCACCTTAATTTCTAAGCAGTTTGGTGAGGAAAGAGAATATTCCAGCCACGAGGGACAGAATTTGCGAAGGCATGAAAACAGGAGAAAGAACGCTAAGCTTGTTTATTAGCTAGCTGGTTAATTTGACTGGTACTCAAGGCAGAATGCTGTAATGAAGGAAACAGAAGTTGAAGGAGTAAAAAGAAGCCATGCTATAAAGATAAGGAATTAGTATTTTATAATACAAATCATACAAGTATAGTTGGTTAGGGAGTGCCATGGTTAAACTTGGCACTCAGAAGTATTAATTTAGCAGCTACATGAAGTATAGATTTGAGAAAGAAAGCACTAAAATTGGGAAAAGTCTATTATCATAGTCCAGATGAGGATTGATAAAGGGCTAAACTAGGATAGCAATCCCACAAATGCAAAGTCCAAAGGAGAAGTGGAATTAGAATTGATGAGATCTGACAACTGGTTATGAGAGAGAGGGCATCAAGGGGAAAAAAAGAATAATCAAGGACGGGCTAAGGTTACAAATGCTGGCACCAAGAAAAATGATGGAGTTCCTAACAGAAAAATTCTGGAAATTCTATCAGGGCAAACATTTCAGGAAGAGCAACTGATTTGAGGGACTGGTTATTCGCAAGATTTCCCCATTAGTAATTAGCTTATATGAGTAAAAAAAAATGACATTATGCAAACTTTTGAGGTACTGAACTATCTAAGGGCAAGAAGAAAGGGTAAAGCAGAGCCTGAGAAAAAGTACCACAATTAGCTGGTTTCTGCCACAAGAAGATAAAATTGCATAAATCGAATGATCCAAAAAGCATAATGGTTCTTGGGATAAATATGCATATTTCATCCATTTTTTTATTTTCATTTTCTCTACATTTCAGTTCTCTACCTCTTTATTATTCTCTTCTCTCCTCTGACTATTAATATGATAATATAGATTAATACAACAATATAGATTGATATGAGTATGTCCAACAAGGAAAGAGAAAAAGGGCAGTTTAAGGAAGGATAGGTAAAGATCTAAAAGGGAAAGACCAAGTAAGAAAGCAGCAAGTACCTTTAAGAACTTACTACGTATTTTGCATTATGCTAAACTTTGGGACTACAAAGAAAAAAGTGGAATCATTTTTGTCCACAATGACCTTACATTCCAAAAAAGGAGGCAACAACAGCATGTATCAGTATAATATTACATACCTAACGTAAATACAAAGTAAATTTTTTGGAAAGCGAGACACAAACAGCTTTTGGAGGTTTCAGAGGGGGAAAGTGAGAATTAAACTGAGTTTGAAAGGTACTCTAGTTCTACAATCCTATGGAAAACCTCTATAAAGAGAGAGAGAAAGGGAAAAGCAAAAAATCCATTTTAGCTAGATTACATAATGGGCAGTTATATAATGAAGCTAGACAAGCAGTCCAAAACCAGATCACACAGTTCCATTAAATGCAAATCAATGAAGCACAGTACTAAGCACTGAGGACACATATTAAAGTAACATAGTTCCCACTCTCTAATGGAGTTTACAAAACACCACAAGTCAGAGGGAGGGTATGCAATTTAGTGTGCAAGATCAAAGCAAGTGACAATTTCTCTTCTTTAATGTCATTTCTACTTACAAAATCTTATCAAATTTTGATGTCAAAACATTTGATAGGGCCAAGGACTTTGGTAACAAGAACTCTCCCTTCTGGGTCTTCAATCACTCTGACTGAGGGCAATGGGCTGAAAGCATCACCATTCCAAGAGCTCTTGATTTCACGGTACTAGGCTTTCACCATCATAATTTGACAGTGAACAAAGTTAACAATTACTATATGGGGCTGGCTCCCTTTTCACAGAAGCTGCAACGTGAGATAATGTCTATAAAAGCCAGAGGCAAACTATTAGTCTGCTAATTGAAGGATTCCTGTGCCGTTTTGACAGTTGGTCAGTAGCTGTTGCTAATGGTGATGAGGAAGGTCAGGTTAATACCATGGAAAACAGGAAGACTAATTAGGAACCAACTCCAAATGAAAAGTGGACTTAAACTGGTAGTTCTCTGACTGGGGAGAAGAAAGGGATATGAAAGAGATCTTTTCAAAAGAGATAAACACGATATTTTATGTCAGACAGCCAAGTAATAATGAGGAATTGCGAATACTCTATTTTCAAATATGTATGACGAGAATGATTATGGTACCTACAGAAGAGGAAAGGTTTTTAGGAAAAACCAGTAAGTCCTAATTTGGATATGTTCAGTTGAAGATGAACAATTAAAGCTCCGCACAGGGCCAACTGTATCACAGTCATCTGCACTGAGAAAATAAAGATAATCTGAAGATGCTGTACTGACCTCAATCAAGTAGAGAGAGAAAAAGATTTAGGATAGAGCCTTAGGTTCCATTATAATTAGAGCATTTTCCAGCATGAATATGACAAGGGCTAAAAAAAGACAATGATCAAGGTAACTGAGATAATGTATACATGGGTTGTTGTCACACATTAATGAAATCACAGATCCACTGAAGCACAGTCGTTTAAAATGTTGTATGTTTCAATCAAAAAACTTTTTTAGTGGTAAATATATACAAGAACACCAAGAAAAGGAATAAACATCTCTTAGTATTTCCTCTGTTCAGGAACTTTTAATTATTGTGTAAATAAATACAAAGAATGAAATAAATTCCTACTTTCAAGAAAATAAAAATAACATGTAATATTATAGTGATTAAGAAGTCAAGAGCTTCTACAACTAAGTCTAAAGACCTGACATAAAATTAACTTATATTTACTTTCTATTTATGCTGTATACATTTCTATGTTATTTTCTTGAAAGCAGGAGTTTATTTCATTCCCTTGCATTTATATACATAATAACTAACAGTGGCTGAAAAGAGCAAACACTTAACTGAGAGATGCCTATCTCTTAACTCTTACAAGGTAGCAAATTTCTACCCTAAATTAAGATATATTCAAAGCTCCTTTCTATCTCACAGAAACTGCAACCTTTTGTCCCTTCTCAAGGAAAGGGAAGATGATAGAAGACAAATCTTCTAGAAATCCAAGTTTGAAAAATCAACTTTCCTCATTCACCCC